GACTTATCGAAGATGATACTGTCTCCGAAGTCATCGTACCGTTCGTGAGTGATCGACCGCTTGAGTTTGTGTGTAGTGGTGAACTTCACATGGTTGATCGTTGCTTCATCGCCTCCGCTGACGATCATTTGGATGGTGCGAGCGGGGGAGGGTGGCTTTGGAGGTCCCTGGTGTTGTTCTCGTCCGCGATCGAAGTTGGCTCGTCCACGGTGGCTCATCAGTTCCCTCAGGTGCCCTTTGTTCAGCATGTTTACTACCTCTTGCCGTAGAGCTATGCAGTCCTCAGTTTTGTGACCCCGCTCCTGGTGAAATTCACAGAGGACGTTCGACTTTCGTGTACTTGGGTCGGACTTTATCTTTTGTGGCCATTCACCTTTGTGCCAAGCTTCTCTAGTGCGTACACTATCTCTGAAGGGGAAACACAAAAATTGTGAGCGGATAAGAGTGGAGGCATACCTCTTTCGTTTTGTTGAGTTCCTGTTTGTGGCCTGGGCGGCCCTTCCGCATGTCGAGGAGACGGTGGGACGTCTGTTCTAACGTAGGGCTGATGTCTTTCTCGGTTGAGATGAGGGCTTGGTTGATCTCTCCGACCGTCGTTGCGACGATCTTTTATCGACTTTGTTTGAACCGATGTCAGCCGTTGAGTCGGGCCGTTAAGGTCGTCCTCGTCGTCTCTCACCTCGGCGCAATAGGCATTGTGGATTTCTTCCCAAGTGGTGGGAGGTATTTCATGAGCCTGCTTAGTAGCTTCCTGGTTGCTCTCGACCCGCTCTTTTTCAACCCTTCTGGAAAGCCGCTACCGCCATCCCTTCCGATACATTTGGTAGGTTCATTCTTACTCTGTTAAACCGGGCGAGGAAGTCCCTGAGTCCCTCGCCAGGCGATTGCCTGACGGCAAATATGTCGTTCACCCTAGCTTCCGCCTTTTAGCCCCTGCATGGGCGGTGACGAACTTGTCGGCCATTTCCTCGAACGCTGCTATTGACCGCGCCGATAGTTTTGAATACCAGGTTAAGGCTCCCCCCGTCAAGGTTCGCCGAACTTTTTCAGTGGCACTGACGGTACTTGCTCCTTTGAAAGGTCGTTGCCTTTTACCGCTGTGACATAATGGATGATGTGATCTTCGGGGTCTGTAGTACCATCGTATATCTTCATGTAAGGTGGCATTTTGAAGGTTTTGGGAATGGCATGTGGAGCCGCTTCCTCGCTATACGGTTGTTCGACATACCGACCAACGTCTCGTTTTGGTAGTAGCTTTGGGGCGCCCGGTATCTTATCGACCCTTTCTTGATGTTCCCTCATCTGGTCGCAGAGTGCCTTATTTTCGTTTTCCATTTCTTCCATTTTCTTCAGAATGGCTGCGAGTGCATCATTACCTGCATCAACAGAGGTATAAGTGATACCTGTTTGAGGGACGGGTTGCTCGCTAGTGATCGCTGTGGTATCTGTTTGTGCGGTGTTTCCGCTCTCCCTTTGAACGGGTTTGTCGAGCATGTTGTTCAGAGTGCTTGTCAGCCACTCTTCCAGTAATTTTTTTACTGCTAGTGGTGCTTCCTCAGCTGTAGACGTGGAGGCTCCCCTTTCGCGTGAGCTGTTACACTTTCATGAGTGGGAGGTGAAGCGCTCCGCCTGGGCATAGTGTTTGGTGTTGCGTTCTCGTTGTCTTCCCTGCCATCTTCGTTGATGGTGTTCAAAATGTTGGTAGTGACGCCTGTTATCGCTTTCAATCTTGCATCTCCTTTTTCTGCCATCGTTAGTTTGTACAAACGAAGAAAAGATGGCTGTCTTTTTTATGATCTAGAAGGAACTATAATTTCAACTAAAACCTCCCCACAGACGGCGCCAAATTGTTTGAGCAAATAAATGCTAAACCAATTAGTGATGAGTTAAAGGGTGAATCTCAGTTGAGCTTACTAAATTCTAGATCAAATGAAATTTTACACTTGTATAACGGGTAGAGTACAAGGACATTAAATAGCGAAGTTAATATGCTGTGATTGATAATAAATATGATAGCACAAACGTGAAATAACGACAGATAATGACAAGAAATGTAATGGAAAAGGATTTACCACCCAATTATTATATGATTGGGATGTTCCTTTTCTCTGATGGCAGCGTAGAAAAGTGAGAAGTCAAGGTGGATATGGAATCTTGAGATTTATGGATAAAGATTGAACAACATGTGCTTGAATAGATCAGTAAATAAGACAACTTTTATATATTCTTCTCTCAATCTTTACAATATATTCTAATCCCAAAAAAGCAGATCCCTCTCTTGTTCCCTATCTCTTCCTTTTTATAAGGGATATTCCCCAAAAACCCTAAAAGGTACAACATAAAGAATATCCAAAGGAATATTCTTTATGTCCACTTCTGAACCTATACTGCCGTTACTTTCTTATCTCAGTTGCCCGCTTCTATCATCAGCCTTTATGAGAAGGACCTTCAATCGTCATATCGTGCTCGACCCCGTCCTATGCCTTCCTTATCCATTACCGTGGTCGCCAAATTTGGACCTATACATGCATAGCATTGTATGAGTATATAGAATCAAACGTTTTTTCTTCTTATTTTTAAATAGAATCAAACGTTAAACAACACTCTCTAGTCTAGATTATTTTAGCAGCTAGGAGTCATGGTCATCGTATCTTACGTGACCAACAGCAATTCCTTGACATCTCTTGCACGACAAAATGACACAAACGATGGCAAACATATTTTCGAGATGTCCTTTGAATTTTCTCCCTTTCCTAGAGGGATTATTCATTGAATATCAAGCACATGCTTTACGCATGTTATTCACCTTTATTTTCACCACCCCTCCAAATTTTGATACTTGATTTGATTCAATCGATCAATCAATGACATCTCTTAAATTACCTGAGGTTAATTATTATTATATTTATGTGACCAATCAGATCTATTTTCTTCTAGTACTAAATAATTTATTTTAAGAGTTCTCTACTATTGTACTCTTAAAGTTGTAATACAACTCAGAAAAAAGGGAGTAATAAGAAACAGAAAATTATGGAGGCTAGCACCTGTATGTGTATTTTGTTTATTATAAAGAAAAGGAATGAATAGGAGAAGAAAAGTAATGAATAGAAATTTAGTATTTTAGCACCGATCGTCACACTTTCTATTAGAAAGGAAAAAGTTAGAGTGACATAACCTGTTAATAAAAACAAATTTCCTTTAAATTTTTTAGTTGGAGTACTTATTTTTCTTTAAAGATGAAAATATCACTTGTCTAAGGTTAGTAAACATATTGATGACAAGAATTGACCTTTGGTCTCTTTGTTTGAATTTAATAGCGCTAATTCCGTTGACGGATTGGATTGGCTATTGATTTTCTCTTCGACAAGAGTGAAGAATGTAATTATTCTAAAGTTTTGCTTAGAGTTATTTTATTTTCAACTAAATTGCACTTTCCTTTAAACTTTAGCCTGAACACAAAGTACCTCCAAAATTTTCCATGCAGATAAACTCCTAACCAAGCTATTTTGGCGAAATACTAAAATATTCTATTGGCGATTACACAAAATAAGTAGTCTTCAACGTAGAGAAATAAATCTTTTAATTGTAGCTATAAACAAAAAAGGACGAGGATGACAAAATTGTTTGTGATTGCACAGAATAATTACAATTCTTCTCAAGAAAAATAAAGGACTTGAAATAAAGAAAAACTAAAACAAATTCCAAATAATCTATAACTTATATACTGTATATGGTGGAAATCGGGGCTACCCGATTTCGTTCTTTGATGGAGAAAGTGATACCACGTCGGAAAGCCAGGACGCCGAGCTCGGGGTCGAAACCCTTTCCGATGTCGAGGTCGATATCATTTACCGAGGTCAGAAGAAGGCAAGCTTCGAGATGACACCGTTATGACTCAGTAACGGAAAGAGCACGCGAGATACCCGCAACGACCCGAGGATCACGGCGTAAATTTCGGAATGGATTGGTCTTCGGCGGTTAGACAGCTGTCAAATACGATTTCCTACTGTAATTAGAAGTGTATCTTATTTAGGACTCCCCTATTATATAAAGGGGGATCCTATTCATTTGTGGCAGACGGTTCATTGATAAGAAAATATACGCACATTATTCTCTTGTTATTTTTGCTTACTGTTCTTCAGAATTATTTTATCATTTACTCCCATCACCATACCTCGAGATTGTCACAGGTCGAGGTCGAGATTTTGCCTATACTCTGGTTTGATCTATCTTGTTCTTTAGTTTATCTATTTAGTTCCTTGTTTATCAATTGGCATTGAATTAAATCACATATCTTTAAAACCACAATACAAGTTTAATTGTTACTTGAATTTTAGGGTAAACATATATCTTTTTAATATAATCTGTACGGTGAAATTATATACTTATCTTCTAATTAACTTTCTTTGTCTGCTAAAATTGCTAACGAATTAATCGTTTGTTTTCTTTATAAGCATTTTCATCCTTTTGTCTCATTTTTTTTCCCATGGTGCTAAAATTAAAGATGCTACCTCGTTAATACTTCTTGAGCCGAGGGTCTATTGGAAATAGACTCTCTGCATTGTTGAGGTGGTGTAAAATTTACGTATGCACTATACTTCCAAACTCCGCTTATAAAATTATAATAAATATGTTGTTGTTGTAAGTTGTAACTCTTAAATTTAGTTAATTTTGTTGGATTTGACATCATAACATTCTCTTGCAACCGAAAAAAGTTTGACCAAGGGATTACTTCTCCATATTACAAATTATTACTCCCTTTGTTTCGTTTCAGTGAACCTATTTACTTTTTGGTCCGTTTCAAAAAGACCTTTTTAAATTTGATAACAATTTAGCTTAAACTCACAATTGCACCCTTAATAAGAAGCTTTTATAACCACATAAATACTCTGGGTCCTTTTTTTGATTTGTTTAGGACCACAAATTCCGAAACAAAAGCAAAGAGAAGGGAAAATATCTACTCTCTCTCCACATTGTATTTGTGTGTAGACTGTAGATGATATTTGGTCGTCACTCTCACGCAAAATTGTTTATTTCATTCACATTATTCATTCAAGTGATATCCATTTATCTGCTCCCATTATTTAGATTTCAATATCTGTAGCAAGTCACTGATTTGGTGAGAAGTTGGAATTCTCCAGATCTTCAGAATCTATATGTTCTACTCACTTTCTCATACTCTATATAATTTCTTCCTTCCTTCTTTTCTTTATTTATTCATTTCTTCTTGTTCTTTCTGCAGATTTTGCAACTGAACAAAGAAAAAATCTTCACCTTTTTGTCCTCTTTTTAGTTTCTACACTTTTTCGCCACATCTCATAAATCCCAGTTACACTTTTTCTGTCTTCTTAGTAACAGACAAACCCATAAATGAAAATCACTCTACAACCACAAATTTAGTCTCTCAATAATACAACAAAATTTCCCTTAACTTAATTGGTTCACTAATATCCTTTTATTAGCCGGATCAATGAATATGCAAGACTCATCAGTATATTCAGAGATCAAGCCTCAATTTCCAGAACAAGAAATCTTGAAATGTCCTAGATGTGATTCAATTAACACAAAATTCTGTTACTATAACAATTACAACCTTTCTCAGCCACGCCATTTTTGTAAGAATTGTAAAAGGTATTGGACCAAAGGAGGTACTTTACGAAACATACCTGTTGGTGGCGCTTCTCGCAAAAACACTAAACGTTATTCTTCTTCAAATAGTAAACGCTCCTCAACGACGTCGTCTCTATCTTCATCTTCAGCAGCACAACCAAAGACAGAGCCTTTTCCTATACCTGTTGTTGCAGCTTTTGATCAAAATAGTCCAATCCACGGGCCTTTCAGCTCGCTATTGACATCAAACGGGCCGGAAATTGGGAATTTGTTTGAAGCTTTGAAACCTAATGTGTCCGATTCGGGCCTTGTTTCGGGTTTAGATGCAGCAACTCAAAGTGAGAATAACAATACAGATGAATATTTGTGTCCTGTTCAGAGTGGTGAAGATTCTAACTGTTGGAATGGTAGTAATGGTTGGACTGATCTTGCTATTTACAGTGCTCCAGGTTCAAGCTTTCAGTAATTAGAAATGCCTAAAGATGATTAGAACTTGTAGCACTACTAGTAATTAAGGAAAAGCATTGATCTTTTGCTAAGTATAAACAATTATGCCTCAATCCAGAATTAGTTGAGATAAGCATATGTTATATTTCCTTAGTGTTTATTAATTTTAAAAGTTTTTCTGTTGCATATTTTTGGGAGTTTGTTGCTGATTGCATATTAGTTGTAAAGTATGATATTTCTATAACAACATCCCTATATAATAAAATTTCACTATAAAAGCTAAGTTTTTCCGGAACTAATTTATGTTATGTTATAATATATGTTCTTTATAACAGCACTTCATTATAACATCCAAATGTATTTGGAACAAATTAGATTGTTATAGAGAGGTTTGACTGTGGTATATATTTTACCTCTGAAAATTAGGTGTCACGCCATAACACTAGCTGCTTTGTTTGTGTAATGCTAAATACATATATAATTGTGTGTGATTTGAGACTTTCATGTATGTTTTGTTGTGACGGAAATGATAAAGCTGCCTTCGTGTGGCTTATAAGTTACAGTTTCGAGCCGTGAAATCAGCCAGTGATATTTACATTAGGTAGGCTACCTACATCATACCCCCTGTTACAGGATGCTTCGTGAACTGCCCTTCTTATTTTCTCCTTTTCATTTCTAATGGAATTCCATTCATGACTTTCTTTTCATCTTGAAAGATAGTTGTTGATGTATTAATGGCGATTACCCGAGATTTGCCCTTGATGTAGGCAAATGCATATTAGGTGCAGTTCGTACGTAATGGCAGTAAATGATGTTATATAACTACGTACCGGATTAAAACAAAAAAAGAGCTCGGTGCACAAGGTATCCTGCATGCACACAAGGTCCGGGAAAGGGCCGCACCACACAAGGAGAGTGGCAGAGATAGCCTATCCTAATGTAACTATGTGCTTTCACGGCTCGAAACCGCGACCTATAGGTCACATAGAGACAACTTTAACGTTACTCCAAGGCTCTCCTTCGTATTGGATTATTGTCTAATAATATATAGCATACGCTGCTCACGCAATACCAGATCTGTTTATATAGAACGATAAGTTACTTTTTTTGGACAAGCAATTCCTTTTCTGAGAGCAGGTACAAATTCATAGTATTCGTTATCACTTACTAAATGAGAAAAATATCTAGGTATAATTAGAAGAAAAATTAAACATGAGATCTCTTAGTACCTGCACCTTAACTTGGTAACTACCTCTTCAAAAATTCATCAATCTCAATCTCAAGAGCAGTTGAAGACATTAGAGATCCCAAATTCAATGACTGTTTTAATTTCTTCCTTGTTTTTTGTGTTTAAAATAAATCTACGAGATGATGGAGATAGTTTACGGGAAAAGACATTAGAGATCCCAAATTCAATATTATAGAGTTGTATACTTTCTGCGATATCTTAGAAAGAAAAATTTCCCACTCTATCAAGTGTTTGATATCCATACACTTCAATAATTTCGAGCGTATTCATTAATTAAAAATTTATATCTATTTGTAGCACATAAGAGGAATAGGTATAGTGATGTTCTTCCACTTAGTGATAAAACTCATGAATCTACCATCCCAATGGTTGAATCTTTCAAATTAACAAAAACTTAAATCTCGCCAAATATTTCCCTTTTTCAGATCTTCTTTTACTGCAAACAGGAAACTGAGAAGCACATTCAATTGTCTAGAAGCTTGATATGGTAGTAGGTGGAGGGGGTGGGGAAATCAACCTGCTTGTCAGAATGTGATGTGATGATTATCAGCTAAAATTGTCAAAACTAAGCAATTAGATCAAGTGTCTATCATTTAAAATGGTAAAAATAGCACGGGCTGGCCAGTTTTCGGACTGGTCATTCAAAAATAGCCAGCATTTGTCAAGCCATTGAAAAATAATCACTATTTTGCTGCAACAGAGACCGGTCCAACATAATATACTGGAGTTCGGTGCACCTGTGTATGAACTTCCAGCATATTATGCTGGAACTCCAACGCACGGAAAGTTCCAGCATAATATACTGGAGATTCGAGCACTTGTGTATGAACTTCCAGCATATTATACTGGACCGGTATACTTTGCTGGAACTCCAGTATATTATGCTGGAGTTCTAGTGTACTTATGCTGGAACTCCAGCTGGAGTTCCACTATACTTATCCTGGAACTCCAGTATAATATGCTGGAGTTCAAGTATAGTTATGCTGGAACTCCAGCATAATATACTGGCATATTTTTCGGATTTTGAACAGTGTTTTCCCTCAGATTTATCTGTATATGAAAAGTAGCTAAATTTCGATTACTTTTGAAAGCGTGGCTATTTTTGAATGACCACTTGTAAATCCGACTATTTTTGAATTTCTCCCTTTAAAATGGCCACAAAGGCCCGCAAACCATGAGGTACAACTCCTATATATGGACCCACGCTAGGAAATTTATTTGATTCCCATTTTATACAAACCCACACGAGTGGCCTCTTAGTCACTTGAGCTAAAAAAAATTCATCTATCTTGAAAGTAGGGGTATCTGTCGGCCGATATAATATGCTTTTTAGGCATATTAGTTCAATATTTTTTATATATGTTACCGATAGGAGTCTTTCATATAAAAGTGTTAAATTCTCACGGTCCCCCGTATTAATCCCTTTCCTAATCTCCTGTTGTTATAGGAAACTTTTTTTGACAAAAAAATACCGTAAAGGGATCGTTTATAATGGTGGAATATCCCATGAGATTAGTTATCCCACCTTTTATATGGGATAGATAATCCCATTATTTTAGTGTGAACGTTGTCCCGAAATTAACTAATACCCTTGGACCAAACGATCCATTTATATATAAATGTTTGTGACACTATTGGTCGTGTGTCGCTGACAAAAGCTGGATCTAGATTTCAGTTACGAATGACTAATGATTCATAAGTATTGGAATGAATGTGTTACCAAATGGTCTAACATTAGCTACTGAACCTTGACTTCACTCTCGTACATAGTGTGGTGTTTAGTCTTTGTTTGCCACCCAAATTTGCAGCCTTCATCTGACTTTAGCTTCTGATGCCAATAAATGTGGTCTATTTCTAATAGGGATGGCAATTGGGGCAGGGCGGGGCAGGGATAACCTTAAATGGGGCGGGGCAGGGAAAGAATTTAATGGGGCAGGGCGGGGCAGGGCAGGGCAGGGCAGGGCAGGGCAAATTATTATTTTTGAAAATTTTTAATAGGGCAGGGCAGGGCAGAGTACTGGACAGTAGGGAAAGCAAGGATAGCAGTTTCATCTATTACTTTAATGGTAATACCAGTACCCTGTGCAGTATACTTATGATAACCTTTAATGTGCTTAAGTATACTTATGGTAATACCATTATGATTGGACAAGCTGTTGAGTTATATGATGTCAGGTCCCAAAATTTTAAAAAATATAAAATTATCCATAATTAAAATAGATTAATTGTGGAAATTACAAGTAGAAGGATTAAGGCCTCATTTGTTTGCACTTAATGGAGGTCTGAATCTTAATCATTCAGATCTCAGACATTAAGTGCATTTGTTTTTAAAGTCTGAATCTTAATTATTCAGATCTTAATCATTAAATGTGTTTATTTTTTTTACTTTACAACCACTTAATTGTTCTGAATAGGTCTGTATGATCAAGATCTATAGCAGAGACTTAATTTCATTAAGATGCTATCACATATTCATTATTAATTGCCGCCACCGCCTACCATTATCAACTACCACCATGCCACCACCACCAACATACTCAACCACCACCACCACCCACCACCACTACCACCATGCTACCATCATCCTCAATCATAGCCTCCATTATCGACTATCCCCGCCACTCCGACCACCATCATCTGACCCACAATCAACACTCATCCGCCTCAACTACCACAACTGACCACCCCATTACCATCAACAACCACAGCGGACACTGCCTATCATTATAACCTACCACCACCCACCCACCACCTTCCTCAATCACAACTACTACCACCACCCGACATTATTAACTATCACCACCCACCACCACCATCCTCAATCATAATCGCCACCACTACCAATCGCTACTAGCTACTAGCATGAACCACCATCATCAACCAAAACTACCACCAACCGCCCCCTCTAGTCGGCATTCACCCGTTAGCCATCACCACCAACAACTATCATATTTTTAAAAACTATACATTTTATTAATAAAATATTAGATTAGTTAGTATTTCATTTGAATTTTACATTTATTAATTTTCAAATAAAGATAAATTTTGTACATTCAGATGTTAAAAATCAAACAGTCTTAATTATTTCTGTTCAGAACTTAATACACATCTTAATATATTCAGTTGTGTATTCAGATTCAGATGTCTTAATCTTAATACACATCTTGATATTCAGATGTGTATTCAGATTCAGACGTCTTAATCTTAAAAAAAACAAATGAGGCCTAAATGAATTTTCTGAAACTTAAGAAAGAGAATAAACATTTTATGGAACATTATTATTTGCATCTTCCATTAGAAAGAGAGAAAAATAACTTTTTTGAAACATGTATCTTTCCAAAACTCTTAAATGTGAAATGAACACAAATTACTTGACACAATACATCAATTATAGTAGTATTTTTTGCATTTTGAAAGTGTAAGCCAATTTGCATTTCTGAATATTATAATTTTTAATACATAATAACTTTTGAACATTTTATTAGTCCGCTTCAAATTATTTTGAATTTATTTTAATATTTGATATTTTTAAAAACGAACTAATAAGGACACTTCTCCATACTAGGGAAAAAAGCATTAATGCATAAACATAATATTACAAATTAGAAAAAAAAAATACAAAAAAGCCTAAACGGGGCGGGGCGGGGCAGGGCGGTGCGGGGCAGGGCAAAATTTGAAAAAATGCTAAATAGGGCAGGGCAGAGCGGGTCAAAATATTAGCAGGTCAAGGCTTGCCCCGCCCCGCCCTAACCTGCCCTGCCCCATTTGACACCCCTAATTTCTAAGGTTGGGGTTTCGTCAAATTGTTTCTCATTTTGAAGAAAGGAGTGATAGCGATCTCTTTTGCGACTGGTAGGCTAATTGGGTTGACTTTCAGCTCTTGAAGAGATCAGATCAGAATATGTCCTTGCGCCAAAGCTGTATGCCACCAATGTG